TTTTTTTTCTATTTTTTGTGCAAGAATTGTTTATTAACCTAGTACATATACTAACCCAATTTTGAATATCAAAAGCAGAAAGTATGACGGGAAAAGAGAAATGGGTGAGTCACAACTAAATTTTTCTAACCTAACTAGAATCTAAACCACAACAAATTTAGTCTTATGAGGAAAGTGGATAAGCGCTATGCCCGCAATGAGATTCCGCAATTGCTATTATTATTTCAAAATAAGCCGATTTCAAACCTTTGTAATCGCTTGCGTATTCAGCAAAGCAATTTTTAAAATTCTCCCAAAGAATAAATTTTGGAACTCACCACAACTGCATGCTTTGGCGTCTTATACTGATAGCATCTGAGACCTGCAGCCATCATCTCCTCTTCAATACCCTGGAGGTACCTTATTTTTTATTAACGTTTTCCTCTATGCACGTACCTCATAAGAAACATTATAAGGCGCGAATTGAATACCGCTGCACAACCTTACAATTGGGGGATGAAATGAGTGAAGGAATACGGTAACATTAGAGCAGTTCCATAGATAAAGCTGCTTGCAGGCAATGCTTACGGCAGTATTGTGTACCTAGAAGTTAAAGCTAGGATTGGTAAAGTTACCAAGAAGATGCTTCTGTACCTCTCGAAGTATAACGGAGCCATGAGTAGGCCCAAGTACCATAGCTGGGCAAAACTTTACGTTATCCACAATTATTGAACGACATCTCCAAGGTACGACAAACATCGACGATTGTGTTTTGTTCGAAAATATGCGTAAATGAACATCCTTGTAAACAGGCTGCAAGTTTAGTATTTTACAGAAAATAATTAAACTAAACAGTTGCCAACCTTGGACAGTAACTGAATTCTTTCCCAACCAGAAACAGTGACTTTTCGCCGTGTTCCAGCCAATGAGGTCACTTTGCGCGGAGAGCATGAAGGCTGAAACGGAAATTTCCTTCAAAATAACAGTCATTCGAAAAAAGTGTGAGAAACATACCGTATCCACTGCAATATCATCTATTTGGAAAGGATCTTGAACAAGGCACTGCCGCATGTTGCTGATAAATTTGCGAATGGAAATCTGGAATGAAGACAATAAAGGGTTGGAAGGTAAACCAAATTTTTTCAAAAAAATTAGTGGGTGTGCCTAGCACAAAACGTGGGGCTTGAGCTTGTTGAGGTAAGACTGACTATGCCTCATTTATACCTTTGTTCGAGCAAAGTACGCACTTTTTTCGCGGGCGAAAATTTCAAATCCAAACTCTCGTCCAGTACCGTACTCTCTTCAAGCAGTCAGTGACTAATCAGCGCCTTCGAATACGGTACTGGGCGAAAGTTAAAGATTCATTTTTTCTGCCATGATTAAAAATTAGACAATGGTTCAGTCAATGCCTTTTATTAAGTATCCCCATGGAAAGTACAAGTATTTGTATTGTTTCTGTACTCCCTTTGAAAATAAAATTATTACAGTTGAAGCAAATGCAAAAATGTTGTTTGTTGCGAGCTCTTTCATAATATTAACTTCAGTTAGTTAAGAAGTCCTAATCAAATAGAGATAGACAATTTATAGTCCATCATTTCACTGCTTTCTAATAAGAATT